TACGGCCCATGCTATTACATCCCGCACGCTTGCGTCATTAAAGAAACATCAAACACAACCAAACTTCGAGTTGTCTATGACGCAAGCGCTCACTTGAAAGGGAGACCCTCCCTTAATGACTGTACGTACCCAGGACCATCAATGATCCCAAATATCGTAGGGATGCTACTACGTGCAAGAAATCCAAAAATCCTATTAATTTCCGATATAGAAAAAGCCTTTCACCAAATTCATCTACAAGATTCTGAAAAAGATTACACACGTTTTCTGTGGCTGAAGGATCCCGAGAAGCCTCCCAGCCCAGAAAATATAATTTTCTTACGGTTCAACCGCGTTCCATTTGGAATCAGCTCTTCACCATTCCTTCTCAATATTTCAATAAATTATCTCCTCGATCATTACAAACCCGAAATGGCTGGCGAGATATTACGGAATATATATGTCGATAATTTGATGCTTGGCGCAGCTGACGATGCCGAAGCCTTCGAGAAGTACCAAAAAACCAAGCAATTATTTAATCAAATGTCAATGAATCTACGAGAATATATTTCGAATTCCGATTCGGTAAACCTTAAAATACCCGATTCCGATCGGTCAAATACCATTGCCCAAAAATTGCTAGGTTATCATTGGGATCCTACCGACGATCAACTGAAAATTAAAATCAAAATGGACTTTGACAGCAAAACAGCGACTAAGCGTAAAGTGTTCAAAGAAGTAGCTCAAAATTTCGACCCACTGGGACTATGCGCCCCATTATTGATTGATGCAAAAATCTTCAAACAAGATTTATGCCGACAACAATACCAATGGGACCAACCCCTTACCTTAACCGATCTAGAGAAGTGGAAAGCAATTGTCGAAAAATACGACAACATCGAAGTCACCTTACCACGTCGTGCTCTGGACGACGCTGATACTCATGAATTGGTAGTATTTGGTGATGCGTCGCAACATGCGTACGCGGCGTGTGCGTACGTCATCAGTCGCACAGCCACCAAAACCACGACACAACTTATCATCAGCAAAAATCGATTAAATCCACTAAAGCTGCGCATGACAATTCCGCGAGGCGAGCTTATGGCTTTGCTTTGTGCTACCAATTTAGCCAAGTTCGTCATTGAGGAAACGGATCTGAAATTCAAATCTGTGAAAATATTCAGCGATTCTGAATGCGCATTGAAATGGCTGGTTACCCCTAAAGCCATAAATCTCGACGTGTTCACAAAACGGCGTGTCGAAACGATCAGAAACACCTTAGAAAATCTTACGGTACCATTCAGCATACACTATGTACCCACTGATCTGAATCCTGCGGACCTTGGCACTAAAGGAGTGGACTTCGAAAGATTCCAAACCTCCACTTGGCTTACAGGCCCAGAATTCATCAAACATCCGATCGACACCTGGCCTGGAAAAAGTCAACGCAACTGGGAACTCCCAGAAGATCCCCATGTGGTATTCCTGTTTGGAAGAGCACACAGGCAAGAACCCGAAAATCTGATCAAAATTGAACGCTACAGTAGGCTCTCGAAAGCCATACGAGTAACGACACGAACGCTGAAAATTTTGAAAGCGTGGATTACAAAAACGAATGCGAATAGAAAGCAAAACATCAGACTACCCGCACTCTGCCAAAATCTGAGTGAAAATCCGCAAATTATTACTAACGACGATACAATACCAGGTCTAGACCTACTACTTCTAGAACACCAACGAGATCCTGCAACCAATACCTATGCTCACCTGACAGTTCGAGATGAAAAATGCTTATTAAAATGCCCGGGACGCCTCGGGCAAGCTGACCTACCCACCTATCAGAAAGCCCCAATTTTGGTACTGCCAAAGTCACATTTGAGTATGCTAATAATACGACATTCTCATATCAAAACCGAACACAGTGGCGTCAACCAAACGCTTACTGCAATTCGAAAGTGCTTCTGGATTCCGAGAATCCGAAGCGCTACACAAGCCTACATATCGAAATGCGTTCACTGTAAAAGATTCCAAGGAAGACCCTTCCGATATCCGCCAATGCCCGACCTACCCCACCAAAGAGTAAATCGAGCAATACCGTTTGAAAATTGCGGTGTCGATTATTTCGGGCCAATCATGCTAAAAATGCAAAATCAAAATGAGCCCAGCGAAATCAAACGTTGGGTTGCATTATTCACTTGCATGACCACCAGACTCGTCCACTTGGAAATGGTCGAAGATCAAAGTGCAAGGACATTCTTACTCGCTCTGAAGCGTTTCTGCGCTCGTAGAGGAGTACCAAGAACCATGATCTCCGACAACGGAACCAACTTTGTTCTTGCCGGAAAGATCCTAAAGGCAACAGAACATCGTGAGGACACATTCCAAGACTTCCTCACTGAAAAAGGCATTAGATGGAAATTCATCACACCTTTAGCCCCTTGGAAAGGCGGCTTTTACGAAAGAATGGTTGGATGCGTCAAAAAGACCCTCGACAAACTACAAAATCCACGAAAATTCCATCTGGATGAATTTCCTACCGTACTCCACGAGTTGGAAGCAATTGTGAACTCCAGACCATTAACCTACCCTGGTAATGAAATTGAAAACTATATTATTCGACCAATCGATTTCGTGACCCCAGGGTTACAATTGATTGAAGCGAATACTTTAACTCACAATGTGGACGATCCAGAATTCGATCCCCAAACTAATCAAAATGTGCAAAAGTTGGTGAAAACCTTCAATGTACACACCAAAGAACTTGAAAAAATGTGGCAAATTTGGAAAGACGTCTATTTAGCTGAGCTACGGGAAAATCAGAAGAAACTAAATGCTCAAAACGGTCAATCTACTTCGATTGTCCCGAAAGTTGGAGACATGGTTCTAATCATCGATACCAACAACAAAGGAATCAAAGCACCCCGAGGGTCTTGGCCTAAGGGTATTATCACGGAATTGATCAAAAGTCCGGATGGCCAGGTGAGAGCGGCACTCCTACGGACCCCCAGAACTAGAATTATCCAACGAGCTATTTCACAGCTTATTCCGCTGGAAATTGCTACGCAAATCGATATACCCAAAGAAACTGTTCACGAAACTAGACCAAAAAGAAATAACCAATTTACTGGCAATTATAAGGAAAATGACCCAGATGAAGATTGGTGATAAAACATAAAAATACCCACTTTATACAAACTTATGTGCATTTATGGTGTTCCTCTCCGGCTGCGGCTTTAAGACCGTATGGTCGATTTCTCGTCCCCCGGGAGGGCATCGCGCCCAAATGCGGCGCAGATGCAAAATTACAGAAAATTCTAATACAAACACTCGTCCCCCGGGAGTGTCACGTCCCCGTGACGTTCACGGTTACCTAACCTTACAAATTCCCCAAATAACTATAACTTAATACAATATGCTGCTACGAGCAGCCCTTCTCCTTCTTGCCGGCAATCCTCCGAAGCCCGCAGAGCCGTGCTGATTGACCGTGCTTCCCGTCTCCTTCTCTATGGGCGTCTCCGCGATCCAGGGCCACAACATCGTGTTCAACTACAAGCCCTCGTCCACCGACGTTCGCATGTCCACTTTGCATGCGGCTCCTCGGCAACCGGAAGATGTCCCTGTATTCCCCCGGTGCCCAACTATATAAGCGGCCGCCCTCTCCCGCTCTTCAAGTCGACTTCACCATCTGCGTCTTCCCGGGCTCCAGCTAGCTGTTCGCCACCGCGAAGCTACGTCTGATTCCCGGCCTTCCTCTACGCCTTATTCGTGCTCGCCTTCATCGCCATCGCCTTTGCCCTATTTCCCCCTTGTCTTCTGTTTGATCGTTTATTGTAACAGACTACCCCACCGGGAGTCTGGAATAAACTGTATCCCCTGTCCCAGTCGTTTGCTCTCCCAGGCTATCGAGGCGCAAATTCTTGTCACAGGTGTGACACTCCTGCAAAATTCTCATTAGATTCAATAAGGTATTTTTGGCATGAAAGGGTTAGGGTATAAAGAATGGATCGATCTGAACCTCCTGCAAAATTCTCATTAGATTTAATGAGGTATTTTTGGCATGAAAGGGTTAGGGTATGAAGAATGGATCGATCTGAACCTCCTGCAAAATTCTCATTAGATTTAATGAGGTACTTTTGGCATGAAAGGGTTAGGGTATGAAGAATGGATCGATCTGAACCTCCTGAAAAATTCTCATTAGATTCAATAAGGTATTTTTGGCATGAAAGGGTTAGCGTATGAAGAATGGATCGATCTGAACCTCCTGCAAAATTCTCATTAGATTTAATGAGGTACTTTTGGCATGAAAGGGTTAGGGTATGAAGAATGGATCGATCTGAACTTCCTGCAAAATTCTCATTAGATTTAATGAGGTTTTTGTGGCATGGAAGGGTTACGGTATGAAGAATGGATCGATCTGGACCTCCTGCAAAATTCTCATTAGATTTACTAAGGTTTTTGTGGCATGGAAGGGTTACGGTATGAAGAATGGATCGGGCCAGGCAGTTCCGTGAGGGTAACTTATCCGAACGTGCCTAAAAAATGATGCGTCTTTTCAGTGCGTTCTTGTTACAACTGCTGGAAGAATCTGCTCGGCGAAGACATCTGCTCAAACCTTCTCAACAGCGAGGGCTAGACGCCAACCGCCGATTTCTTTAAATGATTATTCGATTATCAGTATACTCCATCGCCATTTCTATGCCTGTTAGACTTCGCTACTACGCCGTGATTGTATAGATAAACTCGACTGCTCTTAAATACGAATAAAGAACCAAGAAGATACAATTGAATCCAGCAACTTCAAACATTACATGAAATCGCGGTATTTGGGGTTAAAAAGTGTAAAATATCATCATCATGTTGGACCCTGAACTCTATGAAAATTCGGTGATCGAAGAGCGACGCGAATAGGGGTACCACCATTAATGAGAAAGAAAAGCGTAGGCATAGAAATTAAGAAAAGGCTTAGAAAATGGTACAAATCAAAGGGGGTAGGGGCGCAAAAAAAACACAAAAATGAATCACAACACATAGCTGTATATCCTGGGATCTTTGTTGTCGCGCACCAAGTAGTCCCTCTCGATCAGGGCCTCGATGCGCGGCTTGATGAGGGCCGGCGTGGGGATGAAGCGCTTCGCCACCTGCTCGGCCACCTGAAAAAAGCGTGTACGTGTTGCAACTCTACACTAATGGCGCAGCTATTGAAGCTGGGGGAAGGCTAAGCTAACAGGGAGATGGTCTCAGCTCGGAATCGAATTCGGATTTGAAAATTTGCACACTTATAGAGCGCGACGAGGCAAATCGATTGGTGTAACTTTCAGCTGCTGATACAATAATCACGCCGAGTTATAAGCATTTTAAGTTGTTGCAGACATTTTGCAAGATTTTGGCTATAGCTTCATAGTCCTTCCCCGCTGCCCCCATCACCGTGGACTGGTGGCCTAGTGGTGTAGTGGGCGGCCTGCGGGGAATCTAACGAGGGTTCGAACCCACTCACGATTTTTATTTTTTTGCTTTTTGGCACAAATGCTGCCATTGGCGTTCTGAAGGCCTTGAATAGCTTTTCACGTATAATTTTAAATCCTCTAGTGAGAAATGGCTAAAAAACATCTCTTTGAAAAAAATTAGATTTTTTACCCGAAAGGACTATGCAGGTCCCAAAATAAATTGAAAATTCAAAGCATATGAAAAATCGAGGATTAAACGTAATTTATGGTAAATGGTGTGTTATCCGAACAAAAACTTTCATAAGCGAAAATTTTTTTGGAAATGTTGGCATATGTTGCTGGACAAGGGCTCCATGCCAAGTAAGAAAAAATTTTTACGGTGAAGTTCTATGTTGTCTGCGCATCAGATGCGTTAAAATTATACGTGAAAAGCTATTCAAGGCCTTCAGAACGCCAATGGCAGCACCAATTTTACTAAATCTATGCAGTAAAGCTATGAAAAAGCACCCAGGGCTCAGCCTAAGATACGATACTAGTGGCAAAAACTTGATCCACAAATTAAAACTAACCCCTATAACACTTTCATAAATATTTTCTGTCCATCTCATACTTTAATAGTATCAGCTTACTATTATTTTACCTTTGTTTCTATTCTTTACTCTTTCACTTAGTTAGTCTCAAAATTCAACCCTTCCATTCGATTACGTTAGCCTACACACCCACCCTATCGACACGGCCTGACTCGAATGATGGGGCTGATAAAAGCCATCTGATAAATCAAAGCAAATTTCGGAGAAAGTGAAACAAATATAACTAAAACTCATCCAAAAATACACAAATTCCTAACAAAAATCAAAATACTTTACTTTACAACTAAGAATTTTACCTTTTGAACTAGAAAACATCAGGGATCCAACTGAGGAGACCCACCCTGATGTTAAACTAGCCTGTCTTGGTTGAGGGTCGAAACAGGCAACATTTTTACTTATTTTCTTTTAGCTCTTTTTAGAGCAACCCGCCTTACCCTTGTGGTTAGGTTTACACGGCTTTGCCGTATTGCTCGCTTGCGAGTTCACACCCTTCGGGGTACCGCAGGCTTCGGCTTGTTATTACTCCCACTGTTCGCAGTGTGGAGGTTCCTTTCATAATTTTACTTCTCATATATACCTTTCTCTTTTTATTATATTTACCTATGTTTCGTTGATGCGTAGGGCTATGCCCAGGCTTAACGAATACATAGTGTAAACTCAACTTAAACTATTTATTAACTATTCACTTTTCAAGCGATATTAATTTTACAAATTTTCTGCTCTATTACTAAGTTTCCATCCTTTTACCTTAAATAATTACTTATAATTAGTTTCACTATACAATTTTCACCATCTTTCACATATTTACCTCATAATTCCTATTTTATCACCTACTTTTACTCAGTTTACCCTACATAAAGTTCTTCTACCTTCCTATCATTCGATCCATTCCTACCTACTACAGCCCGAAACATCCAGCTCTACAACCAGATTTAATCTCATATAATATCTCATCCCACCCAATAAGTTCATGATTAAGCCTCCATCCAACCCCTATTCTAAACATGATTCTTAGCCTGTATCCTCTTATCACAAATACAAGTCAGTATAAGCCAGAAGCGATACTCATTCTTCTTTATCAACATTTCAGTTAATCTGACCCGTGATCCGGTTATAAGGTCGACAGCGCACGGTTATGACCGTTTGTCGTGCCGCCAGGCTAGGTCAGTACTTCGCTGGGTATCCGTGCGCTACCTAGCTTAGCGTCGAGAGACGTGAAATACGGTCAAACCAGTGGGCATTCTAACGTCGGACCCCATTGGTATATCAGACGTACTCTTCCTCTTAATCCATATCTTTCCCCTTATTACGGGCAATCAGAGCACTCCTCTACTCAAATTGGTAGGAAACTCAAGTTTATCAACAAAGAATTCAAAGATAAAGTTGGTAGTAAATGCAATAGACGAAATTGTAACACTTGCATTGATCTAGAATATGAAGCATTAATCCAAAGCACCTCTACAAATTATTATTCTAGAACAAACCTACATAATTTTGCTAATTGTCAAACTAAAAATATAGTATATTGTCTTACTTGTAAAATATGCAATATCCAGTACGTAGGCGAAACTTCATGCAAGGTTACACAACGTATGTACGGACATAAATATTCCATTAAAAAACATAAATCTAGTTACATTTATGAACATTATAAAAAACATTTCCCTAATGGACAACCCAATGGAATGTTCTATATACATATACTAGATGACCACTTAGAAAACGAAAATGATCAAATTCGTACAGATAAAGAACTTTATTGGATTAAATTGCTAAATACTGCGTATCCATTTGGTCTAAATGACAAAATTAAAGGGTATGGCATTATATCTAATCCTAATGGCAAATTTAAAACACAGGCTCCTTATTTCTGTTTAAAAATTCAACCCCCACCACGAGATAGAGGTCATAAAAAAAGAAAAAAGAAAGCCAAAATTGATAATTTCCAATTTAAAAATTTTCAAATTACAGAAATGAAGCCTAATGACATTAGAACACTTACTCATAATTTACCAAGAAAATTACACGCTAAATTCACTCCATATCTAGATCATCATAATCCGAATGTGAAAGCTATCGCTAAAGCCGTTATACATAAATACGATCAGCCTATAAACGAGACTAAGATTAAAACTAAAAAACATCCCAAAATTAGACTAAAAATACCTTACATTGAACCTAAAATCGAAAACATTAATGTTAAAAAGATTTTAAAAACCTATCTTAGCCAGAATAAAATATTATTTAATAACGACTTTCAAATAACTTATCAGTACAACCCTACACTTGGTCAATTATTCTTTAATTATAACCGATATCTTAATAAATTAGATAACAATGCCATAAATGATAATAAGAACGTTTGTAAACAATGTTATCGTTATCAAAACAGCTTAAATACAATAAAATATAACGGTCACACCCATATTCTTACTGGTGACAGTGAAACCCTTTCAAAATTCTACCCTGATACATCTAAAATCCTAAAACTAGGCACCAAATATAGACCAATCCTTAATCCATATGAAGCTAAACATAGAAAAAGAATAATTGAAGAATTAGAAAAAGAAATAGCTAAAATTACTAAAAATTGTGATAATAAAACTATTTCGGAAGACATAATAACCATAATTCTTTCATCTTACCTTACCCCTAAAGCTACTGAACTAAATTGGACAGAAATTAGAGATTTACGTAAAACTTTTATCATTACCAGTGTTGATAAAGCTACGTCTAATTTTGCAATTATATGCCCACAACTATACCAACTATTTATTGATCAAGAAATGGGATACGTTAATGGGCGGCCTAACGGAAATGAAACCTATAAGACATATACATGTGAAAATAGAGATCAAATTATTAAACGGCACCTAAATACTCAAGTATTATATCAACTTAAACTAGGTGAAACACCAGATCTCCCTAAAATATATGGCCTACCTAAATTCCATAAGAACCCAATTAAGTTTAGATTCATTACAGGTGCATATAACAGCTCTATAAAATCAATATCAGTATGCCTTCATCAAATACTAAAATTTATAAGACAACATTTCCAGAGGTATTGCTTAGCTATTACTAATTTCACTAATAAAAAAGTATATTGGTCGATTGATAATTCGAATCAAGTTAATTTATTGGAAAATAAAAATAAAAATAACATTTATATAGCTGATTTCAGTAGTCTTTTCACTAATTTACCCCACGATATAGTTAACTCAGCTATTAATGGTATACTAGATATCTGTTTCCAAAATTCTAAAAAACCCAACATAAAACTAGGATACAAAAATTGCTATTATACAAATGACGGAGGAAATAATACCTACAATAAAAACCAAATTATTTATTTAGTTAAATACCTTCTAAATAATAGCTTTGTATCATATAAACAACAACTATTTCAGCAAAAATTAGGTATACCTCAAGGTCAAAACTGTAGCCCTATGTTAGCTGATCTTACCCTCAGTTACTATGAATATCTATTTCTTAAAGATAATTATACAGAAGAAGTGGTAGGACACAGATATATGGACGATATTTTTGTTCTATATAAAACTGGCATTAATATACAAACTTTGCTAGGTAAAATATACCCTAAAGAACTTACATTAGAACAAACTAATCAAACAACTCAATCTGGTAATTTCTTAGACCTCAGAATCTACATTGAAAACAATAAAGTACAATCGGAATTATATAATAAAATAGACGATTATCAATTTAGTGTTACACGCATGCCCAACTATTCTTCTAACATCTCATACGCTATCAAACATGGATGCGTAGAAGGAGAAATCATCAGAATAGCTAGGAAATGTACCAATCTAGATACATGTATTAAACATTTACAAAATCTAATTACCCACTTAAAGAAAAACGGCTACCCCAGTAAAATTTTACTAAATCTATGCAGTAAAGCTATGAAAAAGCACCCAGGGCTCAGCCTAAGATACGATACTAGTGGCAAAAACTTGATCCACAAATTAAAACTAACCCCTATAACACTTTCATAAATATTTTCTGTCCATCTCATACTTTAATAGTATCAGCTTACTATTATTTTACCTTTGTTTCTATTCTTTACTCTTTCACTTAGTTAGTCTCAAAATTCAACCCTTCCATTCGATTACGTTAGCCTACACACCCACCCTATCGACACGGCCTGACTCGAATGATGGGGCTGATAAAGCCATCTGATAAATCAAAGCAAATTTCGGAGAAAGTGAAACAAATATAACTAAAACTCATCCAAAAATACACAAATTCCTAACAAAAATCAAAATACTTTACTTTACAACTAAGAATTTTACCTTTTGAACTAGAAAACATCAGGGATCCAACTGAGGAGACCCACCCTGATGTTAAACTAGCCTGTCTTGGTTGAGGGTCGAAACAGGCAACATTTTTACTTATTTTCTTTTAGCTCTTTTTAGAGCAACCCGCCTTACCCTTGTGGTTAGGTTTACACGGCTTTGCCGTATTGCTCGCTTGCGAGTTCACACCCTTCGGGGTACCGCAGGCTTCGGCTTGTTATTACTCCCACTGTTCGCAGTGTGGAGGTTCCTTTCATAATTTTACTTCTCATATATACCTTTCTCTTTTTATTATGGTAAATGGTGTGTTATCCGAACAAAAACTTTCATAAGCGAAAATTTTTTTGGAAATGTTGGCATATGTTGCTGGACAAGGGCTCCATGCCAAGTAAGAAAAAATTTTTACGGTGAAGTTCTATGTTGTCTGCGCATCAGATGCGTTAAAATTATACGTGAAAAGCTATTCAAGGCCTTCAGAACGCCAATGGCAGCATTTGTGCCAAAAGCAAAAAAATAAAAATCGTGAGTGGGTTCGAACCCTCATTAGATTCCCCGGAGGCCGCCCACTACACCACTAGGCCACCAGTCCACGGTGATGGGGGCAGCGGGGAAGGACTATGAAGCTATAGCCAAAATCTTGCAAAATGTATGCAACAACTTAAAATGCTTATAACTCGGCGTGATTATTGTATCAGCAGCTGAAAGTTACACCAATCGATTTGTCTCATCGCGCTCTATAAGTGTGCAAATTTTCAAATCCGAATTCGATTCCGAGCTGAGACCATCTCCTTGTAAGCTTACAAAGCCAAGCGTAGTTTAAGCCAAGCCTAAGCCTAATCTTAGCCTAGATCCAAAGCCTCCCCCACCTTCAATAGCTCCCTAGCGGCAATTCCCGCAAAAAGGATACCTGCATGACGAGGGAAGAGTGGTCAAGCGTCTTCCGGGCCTTCATCACGCGCACCACCGCGCACTCCACCTCGTGCTTCCGGTCGTCGGTCAACTGAAAGGGAAAAGCCGGGTGAAAACGCGCGAAAAAGGGTGATACCTGATCGGGCAGCTCGGGCTCGACGGTTTTGCCGGGTCGGGCCGCCGCGCTGTTGGCCTTCGGGTCGACGATCGAGGCAATCTTGATACGGAAGAGCTTCGACGTGAAAGCGTCGTTGACGAAGAATTGGTCACGTCGATCTGGAAATACTGATAAAAACAAGCACATAAGCGATAGACTGACCGATGGTGCGCGTGGGAGGGTTGGTAGATGATGAGGAAGTGCTTGGCCCGGGCTGCGTGGCCGAGAAGACGGCCGGGTTGGCGGACGAGGATGCGCTGCGTCGGCTTGCCCATCGATAGACTCTGCACCGTCTTGCCCACGTCCTCTTCACCAATGCCGGATGCCTCGATCAGTACAGGTGTACAGCGGCTAAAATCGGAAATAAAAAACACCCAAGAATCAAAAAAAAACTATATCGTAGCTATTGAAAACATCTAGGTCAAGCCTAAGTCAGGCCTATACCCAAGCAAAGCGAAAATGCAGCCACGACTAAGTCGAAGCAAGCTTTAAGCTAAGCCTAAGCCTTAAAAAATACCCCCCCCCCGCGCAACCCGAATGGCTCCAAAATACCTTGTAGTTGAAGAGCACGAGGATGGTCATTTGGTAGGTGGACATTTGGAGGATCCTCTGCACCTCGGAGCGGCCGACGGGGGCGGATGGTTGGAATGGGGTGGCGTCATACGCGGTGGTCGACTCCGGTATAAGCTGATAATGCCGATTCACAGAATGCCGATTTACAGAATGCCGATTTACAAAATGCCGATTTACAAAATGCCGATTTACAGAATGCCGATTTACAGAATGCCGATTTACAGAATGCCGATTTTGCATATTTTGGGTTTTACATCAAAAACACAAACCGGATCCCCAAAAAAAAAATTACCCGACTTGGCCATAGCGAAACCGCTAGACCTGAGGCTTAGCTTTTTTTCTTTTCTTTTTTCTTTCTTTCCACGTAGGTATCTGGGGATTACCGGGAACTCGCAAGCCTCGCGACAAGTTTCAACCGTTTTCGCTGGTCGCCGACACTTCTAACGAGCTGATCCACAGCGACAAAACTCGACGATTCATTATTATTTCTTGGTTGAGAATGCCCGGCCTCCCGTCGAGAGGAGAGGACTATACTTCGTCGTCCCCCCGGGGGATCCCCCCATGAGGGGGGACCAGGGGGGGACTGCAAAGGGGGGATGGTGGGGGGACCCAGGGGGAGACGGTGACGGGTCCCCAATCCTGCACACTACACACGTCTGCCCCGGTCCCGCTATTGCGCGCCCCAGGCATACGGTACCCCCGCCCCACCTCCACTCCCCAGTGCCCTTTCAAACTGTTTTAACTTATTTATACAACCCTGGGGAGGTTTTTAATAGATTTTTAAAACTAAAATGTTAAAGTTCCTGAGGAGAACTGTCGTTTAATAACTTTTTTTTGAAAACAATGACTTTTTGAACGAAAACACAGTGGTGATAGGTTTAGTGCTGCTAGGTTCATAATAAGAACAACTTTTTGTTGGCTATAACCAAGGAAACTTTTAACCGGAAGTTCCTAAATTTGTTAACATATTGTTTTCCATGGTTTTCTGTTAACAAATGTCTCCCGTTGACCGCTTCTCGGGATCATAAGTTATACTTTGAGGGGATGTGACGTCAGTTGATCAATTCTTCATTGTTGTCACGATCAAGCAACCCTTTTCAAAAGCAGAATCTTTTACGAAGCAACCTAGCTTTGCACCGCCTGGTGCCGATTTTCAAAACTATATTGATCACGTAAGCAGAACCGCCTACTATAAATCTTGAAATGCTAAAAACCCGTGCTTCTATTGGCAGAAAGCATCAGAACACCGTCAAATGTTTCCTAAACCCAAAATCAAAACATCACCTCCGTCCGAAGCCAGTACTGACAAAATTCAAGGCTAACAGCGACAATTTTTCTAAATTGAGCACTTTTTTCCTATTCGAGACACTACCTCCTAAAAGTCGTCAAAATATAGTTCTCCTCAGGAACTTTAACATTTTAGTTTTAAAAATCTGTGAAAAACCTCCCCAGGGTTGTATAAATAAGTTAAAACAGTTTGAAAGGGCACTGGGGAGTGGGGGTGGGGCGGGGGTACCGTATGCCTGGGGGCGCGCAATAGCGGGACCGGGGCAGACGTGTGTAGGATTGGGGACCCGTGGACGGTGGGGGGGACCACTGGGGGGGATCCCCCTGCCCCCTACTAGCAAGTGCGCGCAATGTGTGGTTAGATAGATCTCAATACTTGTTAAAGAGCTGCTATTTTTGATAATTTAAAATACAGCAGCATGTGGTTGTCGAAAGTTCTGAAATGCCGAGAGCCCCAACGAGCTAATTTGCTCTAATTTTCAAATTTTTACAGTCTCAAAGATTTGAGTGCCCAGCCTTTCAATTATTTAGAATTTTGGGTAGGTATACACTCTGATTTTCCATCGATTCTCTGTCAGGTAAATCAGAACTTTCTACTATTGTTTTGTCGGGCGAGCTCGACCAGAATTTTCCTCATTTCCAGAACAAAGCCAGCGGTACAGCCGTTTCGAGATTATATGGAAAGGGCAGGACCTCCGGTGGGGATCCCCCCGGGGGGGACGACGAAGTATAGAGAGGACTGTTCGATAGAAAAAGTTAGCTTAGTAACCTAAGGGAGGCCCCTTTGCAACGTTGAAATAGGGTTTTTATGAAAAAAAAGTAAAAGCTAAGCTTCAGATCTGGCGGTTTCGCCATGCCCAAGTCGGATAATGTTTTTTTATGGGGATCCTGTTTGTAGTTTCGATGCAAAACCCAAAATATGCAAAATCGGCATTCTGTAAATCGGCATTCTGTAAATCGGCATTCTGTAAATCGGCATTCTGTAAATCGGCATTTTGTAAATCGGCATTCTGTAAATCGGCATTTTGTAAAATCGGCATTCTGTAAATCGACATTTTGTAAAATAGGCATTTTGTAAATCGGCATTCTGTAAATCGGCATTCTGTGAATCGGCATTATGTAGGTAAATCGTCGACTCCACTTGGCTTGCCTCATCCGAGCCGGCAGTTGGCTGCGTCGAGTAGAAGATGGCCTTCGGCTCGGCGTTGTCCAAATTCGGCGGGAGCGCCAGCTTGTGTTGCCTGGAAAGAAACGCGCAAAGAAATGCGGACGGACGCGGACGGACGCGGACGGACGCGGACCCCCGATCATTGTGACCAACCCTGATCGGGACGGATAGTTTTGCTGCGCATTTTATACCTAAATTTTCATGTAAAACGCTGGTAACTGACAATAGAAACCGGAACCAGAGCGGCAAATCAGGAATTCGAATAAAAACCGGTAAAAGTGAGAGTTGTGAATCATTTTTCGTGCTGAATGGAATACAACAATGCCCGCTTATTAATATATCGGCATTTGGCGAAAAACAAGCACCAAATTCGGATACAGCGTCAAAAACCACCTTGGAAAGGTTTTTCGAGGGCTTGGATTGAACTTTTTGTACTTCTCTAAAATCTTCTAGTCTAAAGTTAAATTTTCGCGCTCTAAAAGCTAGCTGTTTTGTCTTTTAAACAGTGACTCCTCGCTAGTTCAATATGTTTATGTCGAATTAAAGCGATAAATCACAAAATACAAATTGAACGAAGGGATAGCGATTGATATTAGGGGAGTATGGAAAACATTGCGGGAAGTTGTTTTTTTTCAGTTAGCTGGCAGCATTATTTCCTTGTGGAAAAAGGAAAATTAAATTGCGAGATTGCGCCAAATTAAACTAGTCGGAATTCGAGGCAGTGCAAAGCTTGGAAAAGCTTTCGCCGTTTTAAAATTGGCTAGAAAGAGTCGAGTACCCCAAGAAAAAGAGATGGCGGAAGTTAAAGGAAATTAATTTAATTTAAAGCGTTGAGAACTTTTAAACTTTAGAAATAAAGTGGTATGATAAATCTCCGGGTGGGCAGTGACGATCTAATGTTGAAAAAGACGGAATGGATTGTGGAGGGGAAAACCGAGAAAATGGAAGTGAGATGGCCATTTTTTTCTAAAGATAAAAAGAGTAATGAAAAAGATAAAGGTGGGCTGTAAGAAATTAAAAAAAATGTGATTTAGTCTCGTTCGTGGACGTTCTTCTTGGCGAGGATGCGGTCGACGTTGTATTTCGACATGTTCTGCAAGTTTTAACCGTTATTTTTAGTTTTTTTTTACAGGCTTTGATCAGGAAAATTGAAAAAGAGAAAATTGACAAGACAACATCTTTTTCGAGCGTAATCGATTATACCCCGAAGTTTCTTGCATGAAGTTCAAAAGTTTATAAGAGAAAACTAAACGAAATGGGGAGTAAAATACATGTTTTCTCGAGCGTAATAGATTATAGGTGGCATATTTTTGCTAGTTTCGAAATTTAGAAATATCTACCCGGCGGAAACGCAATGACCTACAAACTACACCGCCTTTCGAGCGTTTTCGATTCCGTACACGCATTAAGCTACAAATTAAACAGCTTTTTCGAGCTTAATCGAGTCAATTTTGCCTTTTTTTGAAGCTTATAACTTCAGAAACCTCACCTCGACGCAGAGCACAATCAACTTGGAGTCGCAAGAGACCTTCTGCGCCATCCCCACCAACGGCATCCCGCGTTCCAACTACAAAACCTTTCGGTGATTCGTTCTTTGGTGTAAAACGTACAGGTGACGCGAGCGCGTTCTCCCAAGCACTACCAGTCCTCCAGCCATCGCAAAGAAGATCCGACGATCGGAGGCCGCCATCCACCGATCCGTGCCAGACACGGCGATCAGACCTGAAAATGGTCGATTCGGTTCTGGTTTCTTAGCGGGGGAGGAGCTGCTGCCTACTTAGCCAAGTTTTAGGGTTTTAATTCCTTTTGATGAATAAAAGTCATAAAAAATTGAAAGTTTTGTTATTTTCGTAAATTTTTGAGCAAGAATCAAAAAAATTTAGTAGTTTTTTGAATTTTTACGCCTAAAGCGGTCTATAAATATTTTTATAATTTTTTAATCAATACCAGGGTTGAAAAGCGCTACGCGGCTTTTCACCCCTGGCCTTTGCACGGGGTCTGAAGCTGTTGGGCACTTTGCATACTCTAGCAAATTAGTGCCAACCTCTCGACCTTAAAAATCACAAAAGCGACCGACTTTGAGCATGACAACATCCAAATTGAGCCTCCTAGCGCCTCGTATGCAAATGAGGGCATTTCCCTATGTTTTTAAAACACTAAAATAGGGTATAAATCGTCATTTTCTTAAAAATCTGATAAGCGTGCAGTAATCTACGCCCTCGAATACCCCTAAATACTTTTCGACTGAGCCCAAAAACCCTTCCCCCTTCGCGATATCTTGGTAACCCCGTTTTTTCGAGTCATTTATGCAAAGTGTCCACAGACACACACACATACACTACTTTTTTATATATAGTAAGATTTAGATCGCTGAAAATCCATAGAAAATTTAAAAATTTAAATGTATTGCAAATTTAAATAGTTTTAGTGAAGTTTTTGTACTTAAAAATCGATAAAAGCCAGAACCCATATACTTTTCCGCAATGTTCTCTGCTAGCCTACCATTCAGATGATTGGAAGACGTCTTGACGATGGAATGACTGTAGAGCGACGCCATCAGCTGGTGGTCTACCCTCGATTAGTCCATCCCACGATGGCCACAGCTCTTCTCCATCCACATTCACCACACGGGTACCGCGATCCACTTTGTGCACAATGTTCACGAGGTCCTGAAAAGAATATAGTGAGGTACGGTAGTTTAAGTGTTATATAGTAGACCCGGTAAGTCTCGGTTCTTTTTTGAGCTAAAGGCCGGTAAGGTAGATCAAAACGTACGTTTTTCACTGGCGAACAAGAAAATATAAGTTATAAACCCTCAAAATTGACGAAACATAACGAAAATTGATCTAGAAAACGGAAATAAAAAATCACCTGTGTTTTACTGCTCAACAATGCGCGGAAAGTTGTTGAAAATCCGGCTTGGCGCGCTTCTTTATAGCATTGTAGATCAGCACCTCGAAGACCGGACATACGTCCCGACATTGGTTGATTTAGGGCGATCAGGTGAAGCTGGAAAAAGGGTTATAGCAAAAAAAACTAAAATGTCTTTTGCTCTCTTTCGCTCTCGCTCCCTCTCTCTCCCCCTCTCTCTCGCTAGCTCACTCTCTCACTCACTCGCTCGCTCCCTCTCGTACTCTCCTTTCCTCTCTCTCTCTCTCTCTCTCTCTCTCTCTCTCTCTCTCTCTCTCTCTCTCTCTCTCTCTCTCTCTTTCTCTCTCCCTCTCCCCCTCTCTCTCTCTCCCTAATTATCTCCACCCACCACCCTCTCTTTCTCCTGTGGATGTCCCGCCGGCAGTTGATGATCATAGTAGTACGAATTTCGCACAGGATTCTAATAGTTGCCCTAATTACCGTAAGCCCTGGGCAATACCTGTACTCTCGGCTCCTCGGCCATCGGCTGTTTCTGCGTCTCAATAGGTGGGGTTTCCTGAAATTTTACAATCCGTAAAACCTCTTGATTTTTGCACAATTTCAGGACTATGAACTTCAACAAAGCATATTTGGGGTAAATTGGGGGTTTTTGGCTCTATCTAGTATCTACCCGTGGGGGCTCTAATCGACGAACGACACAATTATTGGGGGCGGTTTTGTGCCCCGTAAAAAAGAGGTTCTGGTGCGTTAGCGGGGGGAGGGCCTGGTTTTTCCTACGTTTTAATGACCTTTACGCTCTTTGCTAAAACTATTTGTAAAAAATTAGATAAGTAAAAAAATCAGGCATGCTTTTAATAATAGGAAATACTAATATTTATGTTTATTAGGATACACGCGCTACTAAATAAAATAGGTTTACACCCCCCCACGCTAACGCACCAGAACCCACAAAAAGAGAACACTGTCGATTGTGGCCCACGGTGCGACTACGGTAGCTTGGAGAGAGAAGGGCACTATTTAGGGGGGACTGACCCAAACACAAGGGGGATTGGGAGGGAGATGATGAAAATGTAAGGGGGGCTTTTGGCGGGAGGTAGGGGGTTTAACGGGCTTTGGCTTGGCTTGGCTTCAAATTGGCGAGGTCTCCCTGTCTCTCTCTCTCTCACTGTCTCTCTCTCTCTTTCTCTTTAAAGGGCCATTGAAGTCAATAGCCAAGCCTGACCCATCAAACCCATGGCCAACACGTGCTATCTGGTGCCCCAGTTACCGTAACCGAGCGACGCGCCGTGATGGCGGGCAATCGACACCGGTGTCGCTGCACGACTGCCCGATCGCCCAGCTGGAAGGCGAGGGATAGGAGAGAGAGAGAGAGAGAGAGAGAGAGAGAGAGAAAGCGAGAGAGAGCGAGATAGAGAGAGATACAGAGTGACTTTCATCTCGTAAAAAAAAGCTTGGAAAACATGGGTGATGCTGCTTTCATTCAATTTTGGACAACACGACATTTCCTCATACCCAATATTCCAGCGTGTTCGAGCGCAAATTGTTTTCCGATACGATCGGCTTGAAAGATATTTTTTCAAGAGGCTGACTAGTGTGTCAGAATCGACCCCTGCCTTTTGCTGGGTCTCGACAGCGACGCGATAGTTCACAAGACCCAAATACGCTGAGATTCATCGTCTTTTGAAGTGCTAAGTAGCCGTCGAGAACTAATCGATAGAAGAGGTCGATTCTTGCTTCTCGTGGCCCATTAAAGGGGCCACGAGAAGCAAGATTAATTTGGGGAAAATCAACCCCTTGCGATGACTGGCTGTCGATAGCTATGCGACACTCCAAAAGACGCTAATCAGCCAATCTTCATCGTCTTTTGGAGCGATACGTAGCGGTCGAGACCTGGCCTATATAAGGGGTCGATTCCGGCGCTTTCCGGTACCTTTACAGGAACTGTCAAGGCATGTCTATGGGTTTTTTCGCAAAGCCTCCTTGTAAAATTCATAGATTTCACTTGATGACGGCGGCGTTTAAAGGGACTGGTAAGTCCGAGCATCGACCCTACGAACCATTAAATCTCGACGACGGCGTGACACACCAAATAACACCAAAAAATTCTATACAGCGTCATTTGGTGCATCACCTAACTATTGATACTTTGGACTTTGAAAAACTAGATTTTCGCCGCTTCTGCGTTCCTTTAAAACTTAATTGCCATAACCTACCGTAGATGGACGAGCCTCGAGTATCGGATGATATTGACCGAGCTGAAAATTCAGGATTAGATGCCGTAATCAATTCCTTTACCATCACTTCCCGCCAACCATTTGTGACGCGAATGAACAGCTGCTGAGATGACGTGACAAAGGCTAGACTGCCCTCACTGGGGGTTGCGGTAGTTGGGGCAGGGTTTAAAGAACGTACCGGAGATGGCGGCCAAGCCCGAACAGGTCAACGGTTGTCTGGAAGATTGGGGCAGTGGCAGGGCCGGAAGAGGAGGAAGAGCCTGAATTTCCTAAACTCTCAAAAATCGCCGCTATCTCGCTTAAATTCCCCAATAATCACTACTAACTCGCCTACCAAAAACTCCCCAAGAAATTCTGCTAGCTCACAAAAAAATTTATTTCCCAGAAAATCAATGCTAGCCTCCGAAATTCCCCAAGGATCGCTGCTAGTTTTATCAAAATTCCGCAAAGAATCACGCCAGTGCGCAAAAAGAATCCTTAAGGATCCCTGCTAGCCTTCAAAGCTCCAAATTTCGCAAATAATCTCTGCTAGCTTCCCAAAATTACTTAAAAAGAGTAATAAAACACCGCAAAATTCACGATTCCCCAGAAACCACCGCTAGTCTGGCCTACCTCCTCCCGAATTTCCATCGATTCCAGGGGGTCCGGGTGGCCCTGGGGGTCCTTGGTCTCCACCATTTCACAAAACAAACTTGATTTTCAATTTTTCATAGGGTTTTCGTGGGATTAGACCCCCTAAACATTAAGTGAAAATGATCCGGTAGGCCTTCTTTACCTTAAGAAATTTTTTCCGGACTAAAATTAACCAAATAAACTTCGAGTTAAACGATTTTTACAACGAAAAATTACCCAAGATCTTAAGCAAAATTCGGGATTCGCAGCCGGAAGTCGATGCAAATCGATGCAAAGTCCAAAAAGAGCCGAAAAAAATGCTTAGAATTGCGGGGAAACAGTATTTTCGTTATAACTCGAGAACTACTATGGCTACGGGGCTATAAGTCAGGATTGTTGTTATTTAGGATCTGATACACTTCTGGTCCAAATTTGGGGTTGATTGGATGTAACACGGCGAAACGCCAGAAGGTTCGTTTTTTGGGACACCCTGTACATGGGGGGCCCCATGGGGGTAAAAAAGGAGTACGGGGTGGGGGTACAAAAGGAGTACGAGGTCGAGGTAAAAAGGGGGTACGGGGTGGGGGTACAAATGGGGAATGAATCATCCTCAAAAGCCTCGTCGCATTGATTCGACTCCGGGTTGCAAATTCAAAACGTGGTGGCCGGTCAGGTTCTGGTTCTCTCGTTTTGAGATACTGTCAAGGAAAAATTCCCAAATGGTTTCAGTCAGCTGGCTCCACCTATTTCCAAGCGATCTCGGCTAGCCTGGCATTTCTCAGGGCATTTCTGCTAGTCTACCCCATCCTGTAAGGACGTTACAGTGGTCTAAAGTGTCTTATGATAGAACTAACATGTTATGGCCTGTGGCCGTAGCGAGACATCCCTTCCTGGAGCATCTCGGCTAGCCTGCCCTTTCCTAGAGAATCTCTGCTAACTGGTTCTTTCCTACATGATCTCTGCTAGCCTGTCATTTCCGGAAGAATCTTTGCCAGATAACCCTTTCCTAAAGAATCTCTGCAAGCCTACCCCTTTCCAAAAAATCTCTGCTAGCCTCCCCCTTCCCAAAGAATCTCTGCTAGCCTCCCCCTTCCCAAAGAATCTCTGCTAGCCTCCCCCTTCCCAAAGAATCTCTGCTAGCCTCCCCTTCCCAAAGAATCTCTGCTAGCCTCCCCCTTCCCAAAGAATCTCTGCTAGCCTCCCCCTTCCCAAAGAAACTCTGCTAGCCCGCTACTTCCTAAAGCCAGGCGTGAGCATAGTTTTGCATCTCCCTAGATCGATTTTTTTCTTGTGCTGGGCCCCTATTTTGAATCCGTTTTGCGCGGGGAGCTATGATTTTTGAGATACCGACGCCCAACCGGCCTACGCGGCTGTGAAGTATGTGTAGGTGTAGCCCCATGACCTATAGGGCAAGAGGCCCGGCATTTAAGCATATACCCCGCGGTAAACCAAGTATATACTTCTTATCAGTACTAACCGTGTCTTCATCTACAAGTAAATAAAAGTTTTCTGGTACTTGACGCGTTCAAAACCAAATTCGGTTTTGCTTTTTGGGCAGTGTATTATCATTTTCGCGTCGAGACAGCTTACCTAGCACCAAATGGTGCTGTTTCAGCGATCTGCCCACCCCAAAGGAAGGTGCGAGGTTGAGATCGATTGCCTTGGCGCACGCAATGATTTTGCGAGTTTTGACAGGGGTGGGGGGATGGGAGGGGATGACTTGGCATTTGTGAACTTTTGCGGCACCCTGTGACTGTAGGTCTTTTGGCGCCTAGGGCCCCGATGGGGGGTGACACAACGGTTTAGACAAAGGGCTATCGCTACTGATCATATTACATCGAACCTCCACTTGGCTTAATCTATGCGTAAGATTGTATTGCCTAGAAAGAGTGGTTTTGCGTTACTTTTGGCTTTAACCACCCTCTTCTTTCTATACTTTCGAGAAGCGTTTTGCCATAAAAACAAAAATTTTACAAAATTTATGGATTTAATTTTAGCAATGTAACAATTATTAATTTACTAAAACAAAAAAACGAAAATTAAATTAAAAAAGGAATTGTTTCGCAGTCCAATACGGCTTCTCATATTCTTGCTCTCTTTTTTGTTCACGATCAAATATGGACTGACTAACCTTAAAGCGTAAAAAATAAGTTTTTTTGTATATTCGCTTCGAGCCGTTATTCTCTACCTATTTCCAAAACTTGACGATTATTCAGCGGTTAAAATCGTACAGAATATTGATTTTACGGTGATGCGCAAGCTATCATCTTGGTATGTCTGGGTTATGCATTTTCTAAAACTTTCAGTGAGTGATATGGTAAATAAAATTAAATTTCGGTTTCTGATAGCGAGATTATCGAGATATGGGTAATATAAAGTATTCATCATTTGAGTAGATGGCCTCCACTGAATAACTTTTTGCTTAAATTTCGATTAGTTTGAATACATGTTTAATAATTGCCATTATTACAGTAAATAAATTTTTCGCAACCATATGCATTTATCTTTTTACAATCATTGTTATTGACATTTTTCATTTTGTTTTTCGATGATTTGGGATTCAAAGACATCCATTAATGACTCGAATGTTTATCGCTGGCCCGGGGCATTTTCCGGCTGACCTATAGCAGATGGTAAAAATGGCTCGCCAAAGATCCGCGGGAAAATCCGGGCCAAA